CAGTCCCTGTGTTTCCTTTTCCTTTTGAACTACCTCTGATACTTGTGCTACCACCATCTGCATATTTCAATGAAACTTACGCTCTTGTTACTGGGTTATCTTTTGACTTTTCGTGTATTTATTTATTATTTTTCTTCGCCCAAGCACTCTCGGATTTTGTATGAGTTATCATGATTCCGCGCTTTATAGCTTGTGTTGTCTTGAATTCATACTGATCTGTTTAGACGTGATTGATTTATTAGGCCATTTATTGCCAATAATAATTATGATTTTATTTCTATTTTTTTCCTGAATTAAATAGATTTCTTCTCCCTTCTTAGTTTTGTTAAGCTCTAACAAAGTCAGTCTAACAAAGAAAGTTTGCTATATCTATTGCAAAAAAGATATTTTTTACATGTAATCTTGTATCTAAGACAGAACCATAATCATTTTTTGATTTTACCAATTTTTATAGAACTACTCCTTATTTGTTAAAAGAAGATCCTAAGAAATTGATTTCTGTCTAAGTTTATTACTATTGATAAAATTATCTGTTATTGTTTCGATTTAGCATCATTTTTTGGACTAAATATCTTGTTTTGCATATTGGACTAAATTTGTTACTGGTTGCCTGTCGTTAATTAGTAGAACCAACCAACTGAGCTCCAGCGAAAGTCGTGTTCGCCACTTTAGCCTGCTTGTTTTGTTGATGGGTAGCAGAAAGTTGACTGAAACGTTCCTACTCATGAGGAACAATGCCATTCAAAATAGGCATTTTATAGGTACAACACAAGTGGTAAGTTTGTGACACGCTTGATGTCTCCCAGCGTTCTCCAGATAAAGTGAAGTTGCTGAATGGAATGACTAACATTGAGCTTGGGCCTTCTAATTTGGATGAAGGGTTGCAGGAGTGGGAGAATATGGTTAAGTCGATTAATTTTGAGTTTAATGTCGTGCGACAAAAAAGTTAGTCGTTTTTCATTATTATGCTGAGTGCAGTAAAGGAGCTCGTGAGTTTGCACGATCGGCATATAATGGCAACAACATTGGATGATAACCTGGATGACGATCAAGAAATTGAACTCCAAACAAAAGAACTAACACAGGTGCGGAGTCCTTTACTCTCACACAGTTTCTTTTATTCTTCCTGATTTCTCGTTAACCGCCTCTATATTCTTATTTAGCTCTTTACTCTATGCCATCGTCAGTTGTCGCAGCTGGTGACGCTGAAGCGCAGGATTCAGATGGACCATAAAACTCAGCCCGAAAAGCTTATGTCTAATGTAATCTCATCACTTGCTCGATCTCTACAGGACCTTTCGCTAATGTTTAGAAAGGTTCAGTCGCAGTACCTTAATGGTGTGTATTCTGTACCTTCGTCCTTAATTTTATTAATAAGTATTATGCATGCGCTTTATCGCTTTTTTAGAATTGAAGGCAAGAGATGAGCGGATTCGAGGATACTTAAACATAACTTTGGGCTCTGAACTGACCGCTGATGATGTCGCAGGGTTGGCTGAGTTTGATCTCCTTGAAGTAACTACAGCCTTTGATGAAATTTTACTGCCGTGAAGTGGTTATGAGCATAGTGTTTTTCGATTTTTGTTTAGCCTGCCACCGGTGATCAAACACAAATGCTTCTGGCAGAAAATACAAAAGCAGTGGAACAACGGGAACAGGAGATCACGCAGATTGTACGATCTATCCATGAACTAAACGAAATATTCCGTGATGTTGCCCAGCTCGTGGTAGATCAGGTTAGTTATACAAGACCCTGGGATCTTATGTGAACCATATTTAGTTTTGGTCATGTTGGGCACGAAGTGGTTTCATTTCCTGGTATATGTAAAGGAACTTTATTAATGCAACACCTCTTATGATATTTTATCTTTCGTCGATAAACACGTTTTGCTTCGTTATTTATTGTCCGAAAATTTTCAAAACATGACCAAGTCGTATGTACGTTAACAATTTTTGCTTATTATAGCCATTTATTTAGGTTTCTCAACAGGGCGGGACCATTCCAGAAAATATTTTTTGATAATTTGCTGCAAGTGGCTTGGTAAAGCCCATGGTCAGAGGCTTTTTTGCATTCATTGGGCTTTCAATCATTCCTTCACCCGAAATCCTCCAATTTAGTAAATGGAATAATTAATTTTAGAAAATCACAAATTTGGCTTATTTATGCATACAAGAGATGAAACAATGCTAATTCATTTACTGTTGGTTGTTTTTATGTCTGCAAGTGTAATCAACCACAAATATCCTTATTGTACGTGCTTTTGGCTGTGTTTCTGCTCTTGTTTTCATCAAATAAGGCATAAAACACAATTGCATTGGTCCAATAAATGCCGAAGTTTTCCTTCTGGACCGTGCTGCAATTTTACAAGTTGACTTATCTTAAAAGTTTATGTAATTTAAAAACTTCGCATCTTACATACATTTAATTTGAGCCCATACTTCTAAAAAATCGTCTTAGATAAGTAATAGCACGTCAATTTGAATGTACCTAAAACGATTTGCTTGCATTTACTTAGGCTCTTACAACTATATGCATGTTACGACTAATCACTCCACTAAATCGAGGCCTGTTGACGGTGAGCTACTCCACAGCGTGTGTTTAATGAACTCCTTTTTGCCCCCTTAGGGAACTCTCGTCGACCGAATAGACTACAACGTTGAACAAACTCAACTGCGTGTCCAAGAGGGTCTTGGCCAGCTGACCAAAGCTGAAGCACACCAAAAACGCGACAAGAAGCTGCTAGTCATATTTATACTGGCCTGCCTTGTCATGGTTCTCGGCACACTCCTGATTTTCACCAAATTTACTTAAATCTGCCTTCCTTTAATCAAGTCATGGTAACCTTTCCTGTTGTCCGCGTGTGTGTACAGTTACAACCGTGTCTTTCAGTAGTTGTTCATTTTGTTCCGTGATCACTGATCTTTCCTTGTCGTCCAGTTGTACAAATAACATGCGTTGATTATTTCTGTAACTTACGACCAATATATTTGCGCTTATTTAATGTTAATTAGCTCCACTTGTGCTGTACTTTGCGGAATCTAATTTCCAGCTTGACAATTTTCGTTATCCTCTTTAACCAATATGTTCCGCTGATTTGCCGTAGTGTAACCTTGTCAAGCTAGAGTGCTAATCATTATCGAGTCTTGCCGTTGAAAATCTGAAACTTTTGAATGCAAAGAGTAGGCGAAAGCTCCTCAGTGGCATCTCAACCCATTGTACGACACAGGTTCTGGATTTGCGACTTGCTGGCTATGCAGTTGCTAGGCTCTCTGGGGAAGTCTTGCACCCCACTAACTCTTAGCTCTATCATCTTATACCTGACAGCTTGACCTTCATTTACTCAGTAACTGCTAGGCAACGATGTGTGTCTAGCCGTTGAGCCCGTTCTTCAACCTGTCTTTGGTTATTTGCTGAGCGGCAGACCGATACAGCGTCGGATGCGTACAAGTTAATTAACCTGATCACGTGATCGAACCCAAACTTTATGCGAACTGTCCACGGCGATAGTGTAAACGGCCGAGTAACCTCGTGGGTGCGTGCGTTCACACCCATGTTTTCCGCATTCCCCTGATCAACCGACTGGAATCCATTCGGGGCGGTGAACGTCTCTTGTGGTGTCAAGCGTACGGTTGTAGCGCTGACGCATTCGAAATCGACTAATTCGTTTTCTTATATGCTTCGTAGGATGATTCATGCGCTTTCACCACGTTGGCACTCACGGCATGATCTAACCCCGTGCAAAGGCCGATTGAATTTTGAATAACAGCGCTACAAACTGCATTTTCTGTATGTAGTAGTAGTAATAATAATAATGCAATATAGAAATGATGTGTAATATACAGATATAGAAGGAGAAAAAGAACCAGCCACTTTATAAGAGAGGGGCTAAACGGAGCTGAGAGTAAATGGCGCAATACATTCATTGGCGCATTGACATCCCACACAGGAACAATTGGGTGAGGAAGGACTGAGTGCGGAGGTCGACACGATCACTCCCCTACCCTGGCGCTTTACGTAATTGGTTCTACGTGTATCGATTGGTGGAAGTGGAGACATGATTGTACCCTGCACGCGCGCACGCGGTGACAAAGGACCCTGTTTTCCGAGCACGCGCGAAGTGTGTGTGGTGATTTCTTGGGCTGTGGCAACATCAAAAAGTTGATCTGGAGCAGCGGTGCATATGTGTGTGTGTGTGAAAAAGATATCCGTCGGAGCTATTCAAGCTCCGGTGAGGAACGAAGGGGACAGGAAGAGGTACTGGGTGAGGCGTTTCCTCGATATGCCGCTGGTGCAGCGGTAGACAGTTTCCCCACCACTTCGTCGCCTGACTTGAATCCCATCACGTCAGCGACGCCAAAACTGAGAGGCGGCCCTTCTCGTTTCAGCCTCTGACTGCCCATGGTGGTTGAGGCGTTGGTGTTGATGGATGAAGAAGAGACAGGAGGAACAGTAGTTAAAGTACCCTGTTGCGTAATTGGAAAGTTGTTCGACTTAGGGAGAGGAGGAGGAGGGTATGTGTCGGAACCCTGTGTTACCCGGGGAACTGGTTGGAGCGATTTCGATTTACCCTGTATCGAGTTGGATGGGGACACCATTGAGGAGGCGGAGAAGCGTGCAGACGACTGCTGCCGCAGGTGGTCGGGAGTCTGGAACCTGGACCGCGGAGTCGTGCCCCAGTATGTGTTCGTGGTGCTGGCACTCGTGCACACGGTGTAAGGATTGGGAGTGCCAGAAAAATCGCCGAGTGACTGATGCTGCCGTGAAGACAAGGGTAAAGGTCTCTTGCAGCTAGAAAATGAAACACTGAAACTAGATTGACTGGTAACATTAGGTAACTGGGAAAGTATATATCTGTTTGGTGCTCGACGATGGTGTTGCCAAGGCCCCTTGACCCCGCGATGTCTGTTTTCTCAGTGTTGGGGATCCACGATTCCCAAAGACTGGTTTCTGATTTTATTTACATTAATTTATTAACATTTGTTTTGTTACGCTTTTATCAAGTCAAGGTCAACCTTGACTTGAATTAGTTTTCAAATTACTTTCGATTTCACTTCTTCTCTGCACGTGGCTTACGTAAATAAAGCTCTCTACTCGAGCTCTGGTCTTTTTCTGGTATTAGCCTGGGAAGGTCGGTTCTTGCTTACAGCGAGGGATCTGGTACCGTTATTTGAGTGGCCTTCTCTTTGTTACGGGCAAACGTAAAACTCAGTCAAGGGCTTACTTGGGAAAACGTAGCCCAATTGATCTAGCTAATAACATTGGTTGGTTTGTTGGCATGGGCAATCTGTTCATTCGACAGATTCGCAAGCATGATCGATTCATTGCAAATCGATGACAAGTTGGTAACTACTGTAACAATTATAGCTAAATAAGGGGAAACTATTACAATGGTTGGTAGGCCTTAATTGGGTATTGTGACAAACCCGTTTCTACGTAAATACGGAAGAAATTAGCGTGATGAGCTGCCTTACTACACACGGCAACACCAGTTGATATCGGCCTCACATACCAGTACCTGCTGCTGAGAGTTGGATGTGTGTAGGCTGAGTTCGAGGCCGCGACACCGGAGGAGAATGGATGGGCCGGTAACTGCTGGTTGAGGGGTCGTTGCAGGGGGTTGAAGGGTGATGGCGAGGCGCCTACCCCATTGCCAAATGAGGCGGGGCCCCCCGACATGACGGGGTGATTCCGGTTCGGAACGGCCGAGGGTGTACCCGTCACGGCGGCGTAAGAACTCCCGCCGCCGCCGCCACCACCGCCACCAATCAGTCCACCTAGCCCCATCATTCCGCTGCTCGTGTGTCGACGGGCCGGAGGAAAGACGCCATAGGGATGGTTGTGGTTTGAATGGTGTGAGTTATGATGGGTAAACGCCGCAGCCGCAGCGGCTGCGGCGGCAGCTGCCGAATGTGGGTGATATGGATGGTGGTGAGGCATGTAATCGTCAACTTCATTTTCTGAGATGAACCGGATACACTTCTTCTTTCGTCTAAGGAAAAAACAGGGATGCATTCTGGACACTAACGAAACTTGTCCGTCCTATTAATGGGCCAAATCAAACTGACTTCCAACCGGCTCTACCGGTTACGCAAAATTCACATTGCAGCCTCGCATGTTCACAGAGCTTGAAATGGTTGACTGCTTCACGTGTGACTGGGTATTTGAATCTCTGGTAACGTGGATTAAGGTTTCAAAACAAAACTTACTCTAGTGTGTTGTCTAAATGACCAACCTACCCAAACGTAATTTTTTACCTAAAATCGTGTTTGTAGAGGTTATCTAAAATAGGAGCTCGGCATTTATTTGCACAACAGACAGGGATCAGAGGGCATGAAGCAAAAAGATGAAGGAGGTTACTTACCTGCAGGGTTTACACCACAAGTTCTGATGTTCCAGCCCAAATCTCGCTCTGCACTTCTTCATGCTACCACCCGACAGTTCGCCTGCCGCCATGGCCGCAACTGCAGCTACGGCAGCCACTGAATCGCTGTTCATCGCAGCTGCAGCTAAATAGGGATTCCTCTTGACCGCTGATTGGTGTGACGGTGCTTGTGGGCCATGGTAGCCCCAGTAACTCGTTGGCGGAGGCATAATTCTCTGCTGCGTGTGCGCAGGTGGGTACATTGAGGAATAGCCGAAGGATCTTTCCGGAGATGGCTGTTGCGGCCGTTGGTGAGGGGCCTGATTGTAGTGCTGTTCAAATGCTGAATAAGCTGACATTGTCAAGGCATTATTTGTGAGAGTGGGCGTCGGTCTGGGTGGCGAGCAGAGAGTCTGCGGGGCTGACAGAGGTGCCGAGGGAACCAAAGTTGTCGATGTCGCCATGGTCGATACCACCGCCGCCGACGACGACGAAAGCGTCTGTGGTGGAGGCAATGGAGGTGAGAGCGGTCGCTCAGAAACCCTGCTAATCACCGGTGACTGTGAAGGAGTTGGCGAGGTCACCCGTCTCTCTACGGGAGAGTATACTCCATTGGTGGAATGTGGACGTTCCAAAGCCTTCGGTGGAATTTCAATGGCCTTTCGTTCTTCATGAAGACTTGTGGACCTCGTGCGACCAATTACACTTGACTTCACTGTATTTGGTGCACTCGGCTTGTGAATGAATCGGTTGTGGTGGTGATGGTGATGGTGGAAGGGTCGACGTCCACGTCGATGTCGTCGTCTTGCATGGTTTGCGTAGTTATCGCGTGCCGACCAGCCAGGGTACAGCCGCTGGTGCAGCTCCTTAGCCTGACGAGCCATTTCGTAGTACTTGGTCTGCTCGGCTCGCGAGAGCTCGTGCCACTTCTTGCCAAGGATCTGGTTGATCGCAGCCGACTCCTTGAGTGTGCACTCCTCCTGCACGCGGGGTCGCATCTCCTTCATGAAAAGCATGAACGCATTCAACGGCTTCTTTATGTGGGTCTTTTTCAACCGCGAGAGCGCGCGACCGCTGTCAGGCTCACTCGAGGCGTCATCTGGGGGAGACGGCGTTGTGGGCTCATGGTCGTAGCCCGGCTTCCTGCAGAAATCGAAATTCTCGTTAGAATGTGGTTTTCTTGATAAAATGCGGGGTTCTGGCTGCACTTTTTGAATGGGCAGGCGCACACAACACCCTCAAGACAACTTCGTGTTCAGGACATTTCAGAAACGCGTTTACACCATGACAATCTCCAGTTAGCTAAGAGTAAAGTCGAGCAGCGAAATTTCTTTCAAACTTGTTTTCAAAACTGACTTGGACCCGTTCGCTCCAGTTGTTTGTCCCTCTAAACTATGACTATGACAATCAAAATAATGAGGCTACCACGATTCCATTTTGTGTTTGTTTAAAAGAGCTGGGTGACTGCGGAACTCGTTATCCCAATTGTTAATCTGTAAATGATTACTAAACGACTTAAGTAGTAAGGATATTACAAACGTTGTGAGTTGATTTATGAATCAATTAATTTGAGAAGTTAATTCTAAAACGATGTGAATCACTGGGATAATTTGTCCCATTCACCCTTTTCTTATCACGATGGTTGCTTAAAACGTGGCATTTATATCATCTTCCGAGTAAAATATCCATCTTTCTTGATAGCTAAAAATTAGACATCAGTTGAATGTTAAACCTGTGGGTTTTATAGTTCCATAGGTTGTTAAACAAGCTGAAGCAAAAAAACCAACCAATATTGGAAAACCGCAAAAAACCGAAACGCGATTTCTTGCGTTAACTGAATAAACAAGACAAAGTAGCTCGTGGAAAACTCAGAGTGTCTATACCGGTTCCAATGGCCCCCAGTGAGTCATGGAAATTCACTTGTTGCATCAAAAAGTAGAGCCCGTTTGCTGCCGTTATGGGGAGTCAGGTGTGATTCAAGTAGGCAACGAATCACACCTGACTGGCGTTGGTAAAATTCTTCTGGAAACACAGTACCACCCCACATCCCCCCCCTCCGCACACGAAAATACGGGAACGCCAAGTGGAAATCTTCTTGGAGGAAATTTGTAGTTTTCAGCAAATTTTTAGCCATCGCATGCGCGGCTTCTGGTTTTTGCCCTCCGTCGTACAGGGGATGAAAACAAACACAATGAACAGGAAACAAGGGGACTCAGGATTCCGCTTCATTAAAATTAAAACTAAGAAGCCTAGTTACCTTCGTGTATCCTCTCTACATTGGTGCAATTAATTTGTTTACACACAGGGGCGGTGCAAACTAGACCAAGTAGTTACTGTTCATGGGAAAAAAACCAAACTACTTCTAGCTTGTACACAAGAAGAAAAAGACGCAGAAGAAGAAGAAGAAGAAGAAGAAGAAGAAGGGGAAGAAGAAGAACAGGAACGCAGAAATGCAGCATCTCCAGCAGCCAATCTAACCCCAACCAACGGCCTGTAATATCTGCCAGCTGGTGTTCTGATTTGCTTCGTTGTTTTAACATTCTGATTCAATCGCCATGCGCTATTTTCAAATGTATCACCAAGGTGAGCTCGTCTTTCACTTTTTTGCTGTTCACCGCGAAAGCTTCGTCCTTATAATTTATGAGGTTCATGCTTAAAAGATGCTTACGGTGTAAGACAGGAAAGCATTATTTACACTGGCCTCATTATTCGGTGCACTTCAGACGTGAACCCACAACTTGACAGCCGAACGCACACAACGTTGTCGAGGGTTATGTAGGGGACACGGTCAGCATGGGAAAACCGAATGGCCAGTAGATCGCGTCTTCTCAAAAAAAAGACGGCCTAACTTCTGTAAATAAAGTATTCGTGTGAACGTTTTAGGACAGCAGATGGATCGTGGACACACACATCCACCTCGAAATCACATTATTCGTACTAGCCACGATTTATCGATTTATCGGTTGTTCAATTCGCTCCACTCGTGCCCTTTTTAGGGTTACACGCTGTATTCCACGCGATTCTCTTTGTTTGGCACACACGTGTGCAATCCCAGATGACTTATTATCAGGCGTAGTCAAGGTAAAATAGAACAAGACAGAAGCGGAAACAGAAAGAGTCATAAGTGAAAACTACCATACATAACAGACGCCCAATTGACAAGCGTTTTGACTTTCGTCCGAAAACATAGGCGATGCGTAATTTTATGGAGCCTATGATTTAAGTGAAATTATACCGTAAACAATTTATGACATGGGCTCAAAGCAGATAGCGATTTGCACTTTCAAAGGTTGTTTATTTTTTTGTGATTTTGTATACATTCCTAGACTTTCCAATGCATCATTAAGCACATGATTTGACTCTGTGGAACACTTGTTTGGGTTAAGAGAAGTACCACAACTGGCCGCGTTCAGGAACGGGGGCTGAGCCGTTCGTTCAGCAAGCAAACTGTTTTCTCAATACACACACACACACCGACAGGACATCTGGGGCTTGGAGTACAAGCACCGATGAACTCTGCCGTGTAGTGATCATCTGGGTTGGTACCTGGACCTCTGAGATGCCCGAATACACATGTGGTACTTCTACGACGTGCACCCAAAACTCCTGGTGATTAGGTTATTCGACTCCCACCAAAGTCAACGCTTGCAAAATCATTTCGATTAATTTCGGGGGGAATTCGAAGAGTTGTGGTGATGCGAATTGTGCGATTTCAGAAACAAACAGTGGAAAGTAGAGACGGAAACATTCTGACATAAAGGTTGACATAATGCCATATTCAAGAATGTTGCGAAAGCCTCACCGTGAGTGTTGTCGCGACGACTCCACCGGTTTGGTAAGAGGAGGCTGGTTTCTCCAAGGCTCGCCCGCCTTCCTCCCGAGACCAGACGGCGGTGGAAGGGGGGAGACTGTCTGGTCTCCCCTAGCGGACGCGGTTGTCGTCGCGTTGGTCTGGCCAGATGGGAGACCGCCAGTGAAGGAGGCCGCTGCAGCGGCTGCCGAAAGGAAGTGCATATGCGCTGCTGCCGCGGCCGCAAACATGCTGCACAAAACAAAAAGCCCACTGTTTTACCACCTGACACATTCACTCGGTTCGAAAGCTGTTTGCGTGAGCACTACAGGGCCAACGCACTGTTATGCTAAAGGTTGCCAAATGGCTTCACACGAACACGCACGGGTGGACTTGGACGGCGTCTCCTATTCATGGGGTCACACAAGCAATGTGACACTCCAGGCCAGCACGGTGGTCAGTTTAAATTCACTGTCATTTCGGGCAAACGAATTACCCGTTTACAACCAGTAGCGTCAAAAGTGTAGACTGCTGATGCATCGGCCTAATTCTTTTACACAAACTTTGATTTTTTTTTAAAAAAATGCGAAAAGGACGCCTGCATGAAGAAAATGGATGGAGATAAATAAATTTTCAAGAAAAAAACTAAGACATGCTTAACTTAGTCAAGGTGATTCAGAGGATATTGGCTACTATAAAATGTAAGACAACTACAACTACCAAAGTCAGCAAACATTTTAAAACAAGAAATTTATTAAACGTCACCTGAGTTACAGTGATTTACAAAACCAAAATTCCAGTGAAAGCGAATTAAACCAATGACCGAGAGTTCAAATTATTTCGACGGGGATTTGAAATGCCGCTGATTTTAAGCTACCACGAGTTAGAATCCATCCCACCAATTGGACGTTTTCATTTCAAAATGACCTCAAGACCATATCTTTCTTTACAAAATTGTGTTTATCAGAAAAGCCGATCAAGCAGGCGGCGTGAGAAAGCGCAATACAACACCCAGGATGGTCCGAGGTGTGCGACACCACATGGGGGAAATGCAAAAAGACAGGTCAAAAAGCATTTACACGCAGATTTAAGCAACTCTTTCAGTGATCAAAAGTTCCCAACAAACAAATGGCCTATATGCATAAGTTTTATTTACCTCGGTTTTAAATATCACCAGTTGAACGTGAGTTAAAACTTGTTTTGCACATATTCGCCCATTACGAGGTCTTAGTTATTAAAAAAAACAAAATAGGAGAGGTAATTATTCACTCCGAAAACGACGAATTGTCCTGCGTCGCCTTGAGGAAACAATCATTTTGCGGACTGTCGTGTGTCGAGCCACTAACCGACCCCTACGCTACGTAGTGGCGTTAATGGGAAGGCTAAAAACCAAATCCAAAGGGGCATGTGAATGCAAAATAAAGGTGTTTAAGAGCCATCACCTGAAATCGGTGCAGTTGGTTTCTAACATGACAATTGACTAAAGTCATAGTATCATTGACTGTGTACTACTAAACAACACCTGGTTCAAAACTGCGTTTGCGCTGGCACCAAATAAACATGGCTTATCTCCGTACTACTTCCACTTTGCATTTGTCAAGGATCTCGTTTCGCCACGTCGCCTCAACCACTCTGAGTTCAGCCGAATTCGACCAATTTCCGGGACTATTAAGGAAGCATTGTTATAGTTAGTGATGATACTATTTACGTACGATTGAATACCAACTGTTGACGTAAATTTATTGGTTAGAGTCCTATCAACTGATGAATCATCTCGCAAAGGTTGAAAATGGCTTATGTGAGGCACTGAGGTTGAATAAGGGGACGCTCGGAAACACTTTTCGATGTCGTATGTCGAAAATATTTTTGACAGCCACAAAAGATCTCCCTGGTTAATCTCAATTTTTTGCACAAGAACTACAAAAGATGCGTGTTAGGGCTGTACTCTTTACACACTTCGATATCTGTAATCTCGTGTTATTGAACGAATTCAGTCGAATGTTGTGCACGCGAAAAGGATGTCCTTCTGGCTTTCTCTGGCTGACCGAAGGCGAACGCGTCAACTATCAACAACCATCGGGTCGAATGCATAAATCTACCAAAAGGTGCACATGCAGGCAGTTGACGGGGTGCGCTGAAAACAACGTTGCCAGGCCTCGTGCACCGACAGGACATCGGAATATCAACTCAAATCGGACAAAGCATCTGCGGTTTAGACGTCTAAGCATAGCAACTACGTGACGGACGAAGAAACTACAACAACAACAACAATCAAATGGTAGGAAAAAAACTCGACTTCTGTTGACAGTAAGTCAGAGGGTTCGATGCAAGTGTAAACAGGATAGAAACACGCCCGCAACTGGCCGTGTGTTTTTGCCTGCCTGCCTGCCCATCGCGTCTTACCACCTCCCACCCCCTTTATTTAAGCTCCATGCTAAATAAGTCAAAACTGACGAAACCAAACCGAGCAATGCCGGAGGGGGCATCGAAAGCGCACTAATTGGATGCCGCAGAGATTGAAACCTCGACGGATGAAGGGGCAGACCAAGGTGGTCTGCCGGCAACGCACGCACACACACACGTGCGCTCAGACTGAGCACACGGAGGCCTCGAGCAGTGACTCACTGGCCACACACGCTGAACCCCACCCAAGTGCCGTGTGCGTGTGATTTTTTGTGTAGGAAAGGCCAAAACACGTGCATTAATAACTTTACTTGTTCATCGGCATGCCACGACAAATTGGTGGTGAATGGTACACGATAGACTGTCCATCATGCTTACCCTAAGCCGGCATCAATGCAGGAACGCCAGATGATGGTGGTAAGCATGAAAATTGTAAACCACCAAGAAAGTGGCGATCGCAGGCTTGTTTCTTGTCATTTGCACAGTAACTCGAGATTATCCAGCAGGCCTGCATGAAAGACCGATCACATCCAGCTAAGCGACATTCACAAATCTGCAATCATACACATCGTCACAAAGACCAAACCTTGTCCGAAAAGGTGGCTAGTGTCAGCACTAGCAAAATCAAAAGGAGCACTACATGTGGAACCTCGAAGTCACAAAGCCGTCTACACTGTTCCATGTCCTGATGTAGCAGCTAGATAAAAGCATGCACCAACAGTTTGGCCCTTCCACTTTGAAATCGTTTAGTTCTTATTAAACCATCAGACACGTTCACAAGAAAATGCTGCTGCGGTTAAAGCTTCAGGTCTAGACACTGGCGGAAGCAAACTTAATGATTTATTTTCACAGAATCCATCTGTCTTTAATCATGTTGTTATTGTCTTCGCACCAGCATTAGCAGCTATTTCAAAAGTTTGACTAATACATACTGCAGGATGTGGAAATTCAGCATGAACATCGAGGCTTTGGAATTCACAGTTCCATCCTACTCGACGAATAATAACTTGCGCTTTAAAAAGGTTATTTTTCAGCCATTATTACAAATGGGTCGAGCGCGGTGACAGAAAAGGAAAGCCAGAACAGCTATTTGATCGTGTTAGATCCCCAGAAAACACACACAAGGAAGCCACCTTTTCCGAGTCAGCGATTAAGACGAAAGCAATGGTGATTGCAATAACCCGTAGACAGTGATACGATTGGAGGATTCAGAGACTACAGCTAAAACATCATTTCTTTGAGTTATTTCCACTTCGATCAGTTTAAAAATATCACGGATTAAAGTAAATAAATTTAAAAGCACTGCATTTTTCTTAAATCGAAATTCATTGGTGGAATGTATTAGCCCAGTAACATTCAATCAAACGGTAGATGTTTCTAATAATAGAATGGTCACATGAAATAAATTAACCATTCTTCTTTTGATATACCCCACTGGCCCTGTATTCCGCCCAGATAATTTAGGAGCTAGTACAATGTCATCACGAAAAAGCTGCATTTGGACGGATGTGAGCTTGTACACCGTGGTTACAAATAAAGCATAATTTTAAAAGGTGGTCGCTCGTTACCAAGCCGTCTTCTTCGCAGCACCGTGGGATTAGTATTAAAATCAGCTTGTTTCAAACTACGGCATCAATGGGAAAGACCCGAACAGCTTAACTTTGTATTTGTAATCGACTACAGGCATGGCAGTGCTTTCTCAAGTTGGAAATTGATTGTTAAAATGACTGGATTCACTGTTACCAGGGCACCCGCCCAAATGAGACTGTGATGTTGATCCATAGTGGACGCAGCCTGTGTAGATAGTTAAAACTGATCACCGCGCCAGAAGAGTGCCTGCGATTTTTTTTCGGAAACAACGGATCGGAAACAAAACACTAGAATTTGAACTACGAGCTCCAAGTTACATGAAAGAAAAGAAAACAGCCTTCCTTCAGATTAGAACGTCGTGCCCCAATGTATTCAAGCGCCGTAATCTCTCTGGTGTGAAATTCTGCATACTTCGGCATTCCGTTCCTCCTGGTCACATTCGCAGGCAGCACGCATAAAAAATTCCAGCTAGAAGTGGATCTAGTCGAGCCAAGTACGATATTCATCTGCTAATTTGCTGAAATTGCTGTCTGAATTCAAAACTTTATCCTAAAGACGAAGGCACAATTTTTTAGGGCTAAAATGACCTGGGAGCAACAAAAGGCCGAGTAAACCATCCTGTAAGTGTACATCTGCCAAAACGTGCATCACTGTAGGAGTGTTTCCAAGGAAAACACTCCCATCAGTCCGACATGAGCCATTTGAAGCCTGCTTCGGCCACTTCCTGATTGTCTTACGGTTTCTAGTGTTCCCTCAGTGTGGGTGGAGACCTGAACTGGACTGAACTGGTGATGTCAAGCATATCTCGCCTAGCCGGCACCTTCACCGGTAAGTTCTACTTAGAATGAAAACAAGAAAAACTGAAGTTGTTCTTCGACATCGCTCTTGCATCCACCTACCTCAGGGTGATCAAGCAAACGCGTAAATTGTTATTTATTATAATGCTAGCAGTTTCCTCGTCAGCAAGAGTTTATTCCTCCGATAGGTTTTACGATATAACAATCTATTGACTCTTGCGTGGGTAAGTACATACTTTTGTGTCTATTTGCGAAACACCGTGGGTGGTTGGCGTCACCTATGCGGAGTTTGCCATGGGGATAATTGCAGCATGGCCACCCTCCACCTGTTTGCCCGCGTCTGTCGGGGCGGGGCAAACAGGTGGACACATGCTGCTTGATCACACACGCACTCAGCAGACGCAAAGTCCCCCACACCCCCTAACCGGAAGTATCACGTTTTACGCTTAGTTCAAAGATAATAGAACGCTTATGACCAACTAGTATTTACTGAGAAGGCTTGCCAAAGCACTGTCGACAATTTTATAGAGCTTGCCGGCCATACGTCACAGGCATTAGTACGTCAGCGTGAAGGTGATGTTCGATATGACACAGAGTAACGGCAAAGTGCAGACAGACGGAAAGGGATTCAAGTGACAGATGCGAACTAGTTAATGATTGATGAAAGGGAGATAGGTAGGCAGAGCACGTCCAACGTGTACAAAGTGTTTGCAGTCAAAGTGCCACCAGTGTAGTGGAAAAGCGCTTACAGGGCACACCGGTGCAGCGCAGCGAAACGATGATGTCGTTCTATTGACAGGACACGCAGTTCCATCCAAGAGTAAATGGGTGGGACGTACACAGGAGATTTCGATAATAAACCTCGACTCAGGTATAACATCTTTTTAATACACCGAATGGGTAATGAAGTCAGTATAATACGTGGTATGCAAGGATGAAAGAAACACTTCATTCTTAGGTTGGAGTAAGACTAGGCCAAGGAGAGGGCTCGTTTTGTTCAAATGATAAATAAGGTTTCAAGATTTCTCATTCGAAAAACGACGCATAAAGAATTTCCTCTTAAGAGCAACATGCAATGTTTACTGTTTATTAACGGATCTTGCCTCCGGCTTGAACCACTTGTTTTTTTTTAGCAGACGCTTTCATGGACGACATACACTTGGCAGTAGATGACAAAAATAATGCATGTCATTAGGCTTGCGTCCCCACACCAGCAATAGTTGACATGTGAGAATGTAAATTCGTGTGATCTTGATAGCAGCGCTCATGTTGTAATAAACGCGACAAGTGCAAAACCCAGCCCACTCTTTGCTACCGAGTTCGATCATCACGATAAAAAAAAGCCAAATCGCTGACCCCCCTTCCAGTCATTGTGGAAACGTCTAAAGCACTAGAAATCGTCTAAAAATATCTGATTGGTCAAAAATCGGACCACGACGTGAGTCTTTGTTAGGTATTTGCTTTTGCTCAAGTATTTCGATTATTTACTCTCGCCTATAACACAAGTACTTCAGAGGGAAATAAGGTAGAGAGCACTGCACAGATACTGGGGATTTGAAAATGGATAACGTTTAAGGAAAGTCCGAAACTATCCTGGAAGACTAAAACCCCACAAAATTGGCTACTCATTTTCCTTCATCGTCAACAGATAACGAGAAAAATTTAAAAGCAAACGGAAGTCTACAAAGTACACTATTCAAAAAGGGTGATTAAACTTTTTACTAAACACTTTCTCAATAAAATTGGTTCTAGTCTGTTACACGCCCTGTTTTTAACACAAAATTCATTCCTTTTGACGGCTTGAGAATGAGAAGAGTCCGAAGATGTGAAATACACTCTCTCATAATAATTTCTGCTTCATTAATTGAAATTTTTCATGAGGATTCCCTGTCACGAAGTCCGGTCACAGTTTGAAATGATGTTGAATGAAGTTTGTCATCGGCATATGCAAAATTCACTGATGCGGCAGTGAAAATTACGGTGACCTGTTAGTTGAAGTAGCCTACTGACGGTGCATACACACAAATGTCCATCAACCGAACGCCCACATGCAGTGCGCAAGGGGAGCAGAGCAACAGAGAGGGCTGTAATTAAGACCTCACCAAGGAAATCGAGGAAACAGCCAATCGAGTTTACCGTGACTCCACCTGCGGATTTTTTTGTAAAAGCGCGAGTTCTCACAAAGAAGTGGGAGACAGAAAGGCATAATTCTGCTGGCCAATGGTGTACTCAAGGTAAGGACACTTAGTGTGAATGCTATGAGCGCTTCCAACGTTGTAGAAAGGCACTAATGGTAACGAGTAAACTCGGATCCACATGTTTCATCCACAAAAATACAAGCCCTAACCGATTGTGTAGATCGATATGGATACGTTAAGCAGAAAAGAGAACAGACCTTGGAGAGTAGGGGTTGCTAGACGCGTCCAGTGATATTGTTCGCTTTCCAGACGCATCACCATTGGGCTCGCACTCCTTCTTGCGTAGGGCGTCGCACCGAGAAGAGTGGACTCCACTGTTGAGGGGGGCGGCGATGGAATTGGTCGTCGGTGTCGAAGCGGGCGGCGACTGTCCGCTCCAGGAGGCGACAGCAGCCGCTACCACTGCGGCGTACAGCGACGACGTGGTGGTGGCGGCTGCTGTGGCGGCAGCTGGGCTGCCAGCACCCACCGACTTCGTTTGGGCCGGACCACCGCGCCAAACATCCCCGCCAGCCATTGTGTGCGAGGTGGGCGTGGGCGGAGGATAAGCACCCAGTCCGCCTTGAGCACACAAAAACAATGCGGATCAGCATTATCTTTCGACTTTTGAGCTATCAACATGTTTGTCCTAAGCAGAGAAAAATCCACTCTCATGGAGTTGGATGAAGATCCCTTGAGGCAAGTGTCCTTTGCCTGCTGTGTTAGTTTTTAGTTACACATGACCATCTAGGCTGTTTACTTCAGATTACGGGTTGAATCTGGAGCTTTAATGCCCAAACGCACCCGAATCTATTTGACCTTGTGGGCATTGCGGAAAATTCTACTGGGCAAATTGCATTGCAACCAATGACACGTATAAATCTTGTGTATTTATTAAATGCCCCAATCTGCCATTCCCATGTATAACTCCTCTCTTTTCCTTTCAGAAACAAGTTAAGCGACAACATAAAGAGTAGTGACATATTCTGACTTAAAGCAATTCTTTACGTTTGGTAGTCGGTCTTTCACAAATGCTAGAATGCTAGAGAAAACTAAGAACATGATTGAAAGAAAATCCATCGGAGAAATTCGGAAAAAAGTCGGAAACCTGACCAAATGCAACAGAACGTGGTGGATTATTTTGTGTATCAGTACGAATGCTGCCGTTAAAATTGGCATTTGGAGGTGGCAGAAAAAAACCGACTATGTGGGTGTAAATGACAAGTCAAGTGATTAGCTTATTTCCTGTCAGCAAACTTTCTCACATTTCTATGTACTTGACGCCAAATTCTAAAGGTGGCGCCGATGAAGTCCAACGAGAAGCAGCACACTAACAGAATGCACGCTTCGTGTATTCTTTCGTCGAATTTGCATTTCAAGCAGGACTCCTGACAAACACACTGGAGCTTAAAATGCGTGTGTGTGTGTGTACTGTTACATTCTGGTTTACATAATTAATCATCTTTCTCTAGCGTGCTCGCAATCTCCTCGTTTGCTTGTTCGTTCATTTGATCGGTGTGCGCGTGTGTGTATGTGTGTGCTGTCCACGCACACACTTACGCATTGCGCAAACGCGCGTGCGTCGTGCGTGCCAGAGGTGCCTTGCTAGCGCCGCTCCCCATGCAAACGCGTGCGTCGTGCACGCGCGCGCGCAGGCAGCTTTTTTGCCATCGCGACGGCCCCGTGGACTGAACCAGGAGAGGGGGTGTGTAAAAGGGCGAAAAAAATAAGCAATGGCATTTTTCCTACAAAAAAAAACGTATATGAAGCGGGGGCAAACTGATACACTTGGGAAATTTAAAGGGACTTGGTGATAAAAAAAAGTCACACAAGGTGTGTCTGCGTTCGTAATCAAATTACCGAAGGGGGGCATTGCATTTGGAGATAGAAGAACTACATTGAACGGGGAACTCTCATCGCCTCACGACATTTTCTAATATAGTTATGTCAACGATCTTCGAAAATTCGACAAGTTCGAAAGACTTTAAATTTAGGCTGTTTCAGAAAGTCACACGTCGGGTTGGCATTCTGCGTCCAAACCGCCGGTCGATGTCCTGGACGAGCATATTCTGGCGCTTGCGTGGCGGTAGGCGAGACGCTGCGTCGTTTAAGCTCAAAGGCAATTAATCTGACTGGTGAGGTAAAATTGTAGGGAATTTTGTCAAACAGCGACTTTACACTTGACTACATATTCGGCGGAAGGTCACTCCGCTGTAACTGATTGCGGTACCTTTTATTAAAGTAACCACAGAGGCAAAGTACTAGCACATGGAAGGACGTAATACCCCAAACATTCGGCAATCTAATCGAGCAAAAAATCCACTTTTAAAGAATGTTCTTAGTCTAGGAGCCGAGTTTTTACACATAAGTAGTATTATCAACAGTTTTGGCTATGGTTAGCACGATTTTAATATCTTCTACACAGCTACAAAATCAATAAAACCACGTTAAACGTCGTCACTCTTAAAATCTCTCATTGCTCCGAGAGCAAATGATTAGCACCGGCAAAATAAAGGTTCCTGTCATTTTTGAGATTTACCTTCTTTGTTAGCTCAATTTTCTTCCACTTAATGCAATCGGCAATGAAAACTTTCTCCCCAATTTGGGTATTATGGGGAGGAGGAAGGATAGGGCAGCAGGATTTTTTCTTAGTGCTTCTTGCAAGTGCGATTTGCACTATCAGGAACAAGCAGTAGTTCCTTTCACTTGATACCACCTGGAACCAAGTTATTATTGCTGCCGTATCTGTTCCTTTGTGTCATTTGCTACGGAGCTCATCACTAACCGCTTTGTTACTTTACAGTCAAACTGCCGTGTTTTCAGTTGGTGAAAGGAACAGTTTTTGCCCGTTCAGACGGCCCTGTGTTGATGCGGTGTGTGTGTGTTTGAGTGCATTTATCGTAAGCTTGCGTTAACAGAGGAATGGGCGGGTGAAAGCCATCAAATAAATTGTAAAGTCTGAGATGTCAATGTAGAGTCAGGAAGTCGGACTGGAGTAACCAAAATAACATGGGGAGAATTGACGAGAAATTAACATTAAAGGCTACACGGATAAAACCGATTCGTTAGAGGTACTCCCGTAAACTTACGTAAGTGTTTGCGAACGCACACAACTTGTTCTCAGTAACCTTTTTCAAAGCTTTAATGTGTCTAAACGCGATATCGAGGTGTCCACCGCAGACACCAACAACAGCATTCAAGCGATCTCATCAAAGCGTGCATTGCACTTTGATGGTGATTTCCAAAAGCCACTTCTAAAACCGCTTTGCGTTGTTCATTCTGTCACAAGGTTTATTTACTGAAAAAACGATGTTATTTTAAGTGTACCCATGATCAAATGTTATATTCTCAACGCAACTGTCCACTCCTTCGAATCAATCGTAAATAAACCAATGATGAGCTGGTGTTTGCAACTCATACACTGCCCTGCCCACAGTTGCAGTCACTGTTCAAATACAGCATTGATCAACACTGAGTTCACTGCAAGGATCCAAGATCACTGAAGTTGTTAACAGTGTTTGTGGAGCTTGGATCTCTACGTTTACAGCAACACATCAGTAAGTGAAAAATTGGAATCTACTAATGACACACGCGATATACGAATTCATTCAAAACCAATTAAAACAATGGTTAGCTGTCACAAAAAGACTCACTCTTCCATCCTGAGTTATTCTGCACGGAATCCATACCGTCAGATCGTCTGTCCACAGATGATTTTCGTAGGGGTACTTGTGGCGGAGTTGTTGAAGAAAAACTCTGCAGAGGATTGTGGTAGAACGGCATGAAGGGATTGAATGGGTTGGGCAGAAAGTGTGGTATCCGATTTCCAGGCTAGAATTCAAAGAAGCGCAAAGTAAACCGGAATCAATAAGGCTTTTCGCAAGGTACTTTGGAAATTGTGGTAGGTATTTGGTTTTTCAAGTATCACAAAAGTCAGCGAACACTGGGCATGGATGTGGAGGGGTACACTTCATCCAAACCGACAATGACATGGAACTCCGAAATCTGTGTACAAAACCAATGTCGTTATTTTACGATTTTATTTCGCTTAATTTTGCAAATTAAATGTTGTGCATTGACTAAAAGGCAACCAGTCAGATTTGTTTATTGAAGAATCTCGGAGAACTCCGATAAATACCACGTCTACTGGAAGACGAAGAGAGGACCACTACAGCGCAGTTGCACAGGTGGACCACCCGTGATCTACATGGGTGTCGTGTACATCGCCTCTGAGCCCAATTTATCCCTTATAGTTCGGTTGGCATTTGCAACGCACGACCAGATAGCAACGCCCGTTAGTTCGATTACAGACGCGCCTAGTCGTACTAATGGAATTACCAACTCCACTCGAAACCTCCAAGGAGAATGGAAGCAGCGATGCAAAATTCAAAACAAAATGTGCATTCTAAAGTGAAACCACGGGTAATAAAGTTCTTTAATAACATTATTAGGCAAAACGTTCGTTCCGAAAGACAACTAAGCTTCAAATAGCAACAGTAGCGCCTAGAATTACTGGATGTGGGCTGTGCTACTTTACACCATGTGAGTGTGTAGATATGCTCTTGTGCAGTGGCTTTTAGCAACATTTATGGGAAAGGCGGGTGTGGGGAAGTCGAGGTAAACGCGGAAATCATTTTGCCTTCACGCCAAAATGCCTTAGTTGATAAAACAAAACCAAGAAGTCACGACCAAAGAGGTGTGCTTATTGTAAACTGATCACTCCATCGCAATCCATAATACGTTATCCATACGAATATGGTGGGATCAGTTCGGGACGAAAGGGTGACTATTCAAACCTCGAACTCCACTTAAGAGACCCACTCATATGCAGTCATTGTTGCAATAGTCCTGGTAATGTTCTCTGTACGCCCGAACAGAGTAACCAGTTAGCGGACACAAATGAACCCTGTGAAGACCTAGCAAGGGCAACCTCAGTTTTGTGTGCAGAGACAATTCACTAAACACAAGCGCAATATTTCATCTACCCGTTAAACAGATACCCGATTCGGGGCTCGACAGGGTAACACAATGCAATTTTTATAAGTTCTGTAAACAGCCGAGTCTCGGCCGCACGTGCGACGGCCCAAAAATCTATACAAATGCGTACACACGTGTAACTCGGCTCGTGAGAAAAAAACGACAGGCCTTCACTAAACGTCCATCATTCTGCAAATAATGCACCAGTGACTCACAATAACAAAGTCGCCTGCTTCTTTAGGCTGCTAGTCCAAATTGACTACAGCAAGAGAAATTATGTGAAGGGCAAATGGATACTGATATTCGAGACTTTCCCCCAAAAATGCACTGATTTGAAAGCTCGATACTGTCAGATAAATATGTCAAAACGGGTAGCAGTTTCACAGATCTGCAGCCGCAGATAAGCCACTCTCAGTAAAATCCACATTTCGTGTGTGTGTGTGTGTGTGTTCCAGTGGGCTTGAATCTTCCCGAGACAAGCTGTCGACATGACAGGAGATGCAAGTCGTTTCCTCCCAATTCCCGCCCAGACAGGTGTCAATCAAACGCAGGGTGAGGGTAATCAAATAGACGGTCCCACAAAGTGCCGATTAAATCTCATATGGGATGTGGTAAGTGAAATACAAGACCATATTTTTGCAGCGTTAATTACCAGGGTGTAGCTAAATAAAATGCCATGGCTATACCACCAGCACCGCTAGCCTTTTTTAAATGAGACTCGACAGCACAGAACATGTGAGAAACGAGAAAAATTGGTAGTGTCTGGCACGAGGGCTGCGATGCAGACTTGAGACCTCACACATTGGAACAGATGTTGTCGAGGCGCAGCCCCCAATGTTAGTCCGCCGTCGCCCAGTCTCTGCGGCATTTTGCATGAAATCTTTAGAAAGATACTTGTTTGCTGTTGATTAACTGAAGCCTCCTTCTGTTCTTCAGAGTCAACGACGTCCAAAGGCAACATCTGGTAGTGTACGAAAAGAGCAGACCCGCTCCTCTGAAGAAATCAGAAAACACCAAGGACAAAGCCATCGGTCCGAAATGGCGGTGAAATTTGAAAAGGATATAATACTTCAGAAAGCGCTGATCTAAGCTTTCGCAGATGCTGGTAAGGCAAATATCCTAAAAGCAGTTGTGGCTTCTTAATTCATTATGAGTGCATCTCTAAAACTGCCTCCAATCTTCCAGAGTAGGTAGCTTTAGAGGCAACAAGCATGACCAAAGCCTTTAAGAGACAAATCTGAAAGCCTAAATCTTTAGGTATTTGAAAAGAACAGGCAATGACAAGTTTTATGTACTACCAGCGATGAGAAAGGCACTTTACTGAGCCGAAGTTCCGTGGAAAATTAACAATCATATTTGCCCTTTCAGGAATGCGGATCACGCTGCAAAGTATTAGCACATCATATGAGAATTTCACAAGTTGAGAAGGCTTTTCCGCATAGTCATGAAGTCGCTGTACTAAAGTGCACAGGCACACGACAGCCCTGGGCTCCCTTGTCATGTATCTCGACGTTTTGTGACTCGCTGGCAGTACGTGCGCATGTGTGTGTGTGTGTGTGTGTGTGTGGGGAAACGAAAAACCCAGCCATGTTCTTACAGTGTAGAAAAGAGAAATTTTTGAACCAAGGACTATATGCGTCGATGGGGATAAGAACATCCGTTAGCAGAGAAAAAAAGTAGAGAAAGGAAGAGAGGCTGAGGCAAAAAAAGTCGATCAGATAAATGTGGTTAGTTCTTATTTTCACCACCTTCTCAGGGCAATGGAAAAGTCTTCTATATGAAATTTGTCTCTTAATAAAAGACAACAGTAGATTTGAGGGAAATTAGCGAACCACGTGTGTTTTAACCAGGCTAGTTTGTATGAATTTGCTTAGGAGGGATGTGTTTTGAGTTGCTGAAGTGAGTGACAAAATTCAACTGGACATGCTTCTTGACAAAAATGCCCCAAGTGAAGGCCTGACTGTTCTTCAGGGTTTCGTACTCGAACGTTTGTGGTGGGCGCAAAATGAATCAACTAATGTCACGCGCTGCTGCTGCTGCTGAAGGCACAAGCAAAACAGACAAGTAAATGCGCTTCGTGCATTTTACTGCGTTGTCATGCTCCTCAGCTCACGAGATTTGACAAAGTTGTAGTCCGGATTTTCAATCGGTGCGTGTAAATAGAAGATGAGGAACGACTCTGCTTCTCTTCTCACGCATGGAGCGATTTAAAGTGTACATTAGAATGCTATTTAATAGCAAGATGCACAAACATGGTGAATAACTACGATAAGGGGACTAATTAGTGGGTGCCAATCCTGTTCGACCTACCCATCCTCCCGAAGGCATGTTGCATTAATATTGCATTAGCCCGTGAGAAGCATGTTCAAGCAATAAGCTGCGCAAAAGCTTGCCTACAATGGTTTGATGTAACGGCTATCGAAGCGCACCAAAGATAATTTGAATGACTGTGTGATGGCCGGTTGAAAAAAATTGAAAGCCATTGGTTATGCCATTACAATTATAAGGTGACACCATGAAAATGAGGATTACGTTGACCTGTCGATTCACAGTCTTGGGGGCACAAATGTCCGTGTTGGTTCAACGTGTTTGCAGACGCTAACGTGGTTGAACTGCTTTCTGTCCATTTGCACAGTAACCCGAGATAATCCAGCAGACAGGCCTGCATGAAGATCGGTTACTTTTTGCTGTGGGTCGTACAACATTCAGCTTAGCGGCATTCACCAATCAGCCATGCTGCACATCGTCGCAACGATCAAATCCTGTCTGAAAAGGTGGCCATAGCTAACACTAGCAAAATCGAAAAAAAGTGCTACTTGTGGAACACCAAAGCCAAATGCCGTCTATACTGCTTTATGTCTTGATGTAGCAGCCCTTGCACTAGCAAAACTCCAGGAACACGGTGCGAATGAGGTCAAATGTCAATCTGCAGACACAAGAGTCTCGAGATGATGTAGCCAACGCATTACACAGCAGTGAAGAATTGTTTTCCTGAGTAAATGTGTCCATTTTCCGAAGATTATTACTCTGTGCTTTCATACAGTTAGCCAAATACTGGTTGATGGACTATCGAATTCGCACTTACCACCCACCTATTTTTTTCAGGGACTCTTTTTAAATATAAACTTGGGTCCAAAAGCCTGCATCGCGGATTTATTGCCAAGTACAACTATGTGCCTACGACACATGAGGCCTTTGTTCCCAAAATTAAATCAGCGTTGATCAGGTGTTCAGAAAAAGGCAAAGACCTTCAAGGATTTGAACCGAAACGATGGGGAGGAATGAGTGAGCCACAGAACCAAGCACACCAGCTAAAAGACTCCAGGCAAAACATCTATAGGCGTCATTGCGCATCCGGATAATGTGGTGCAAGTTGTCCTAGATTGGATGGGCACAATAAGAAGTCGTGGACGTAAGGGATTCTGTTGCCAGCGCAAGAAATTAAGTCAATGCTGATTTAGGAGGCAGGAGTGAGAAATGGTGCATAAAATTAGCCATTTACGTGGGGGAAGTGAGACAAAAAGTTGCACCGGGTCACGGATGGTTGGCTGGCTGGCGGCGATAGGGGGAGCGGTAAGGAGTTCAACGTCCATGCGAAGTAAAAGTAAAGGTGAATGTACTGGAGGGGGGATGGCTAGGACAGGGAAAAGTACCCAGCATGAAGGCCAATACTTTTACAAGAAGTAACACGACCGACAGTGGCACAACGAGTGTGACTAACATGGCACCTGGAATTGAATTACTCAGGCTTAGTAGCAACGTTTGATTGGATGCTAAAATTCGTGCATTTTAGTCGTGCTTCGGTCTTCTAGCTCTAAGTGTAGAAGTCACTAAGCGACTTCGAGTACAGTCTTTCCATACGTTTAACTCGAGAATCACAAAGTGTTAAAATACGCTTTTATCGAATTGAGGAATTCGAGGTAGTGTGTGTGTGTGTGTGCCAAATTCGAAATTTAAAAACGTAATGCGTTTGTGCAATCGAAACACAATTTTATAGCGTTTAAGTCAATTTGCCTTAGTGCCATCCAAAAAATGGTCATCCCCGTTTTTTTGTCGAGAGACAAAAACATATGCAGCACAAACATTTTTATTTATTCACTGAAATGTCTATCACACTTCTAATCACAAGTGCGTGAACAGATCGAGGAAAGGTCTACATTTTTATTTTCATAATGCTAATTTTTTAAAGTGAATATCTTAAGGTATAGGCTGCTTCGAAAAGGAACACAGCCTTTACACACACCTTCTACAGCTGATGGGGTTTCCGTTTCATATTTATGCCAATGGAACCATCTGGGTGTGCAGGTTTTGTCCTACGTTAGATTTTGTGTCGCGCACACGACTACACGCAGTATTTATACATGAAACGAAGCCCCCCTTGAAGAAGTAATGAACACAATGTCATTTGTTGCATGATAACGACGAAGACTTCCCATGTAGTGCATACGATCAAGGATTCGAAGCGAAAATACCATCCCAAGCAATTTATCCTCACGCCTGACGCGATATCGCAGGTGATATTTTATAAAATTCACTCCTAACAATACACTATGTGCAAGGATAAGGTAGACAGTAATTGCTGATTCAGATATGCAGCATTAGGCTAACATTTTCGAGCATAGGCTAAAAAATACTAAATTTCCTTTATGTAATTAATGCAAATAAAAACATTTCGAATGCGCTGGGGTCGATGGTCCTTAACTGTAGGGGTCCGATACAGCCCAAATCGATTTGCTCAACAGGTCACGACTAATCCGTGTCAGGACGCAGAGACAAGGCCACAAGCTGAACTGACCAGACGCCAAAAGAGCCCAAGGCGTCAGGCTGTCATAATTCTGTTAATATAAGTGAAGAAGTCACAGTCTAGATTTTAGCCCATGGTTGTGTGTAATGGCAAGACAATCTGGTCTTTTGTTTAAAAATATTGCATGTGAGGTGTGACGACGGTCGTGATGACCCGCTAGGATTCGTAGTTTTGCAACACACAATGTCTGTAAATGTACGAACACATTTACGCACCTTCAGGTGGCTGGCATTTCGTTTCCCTCACATCTACTCTCAGCGACAAGGTGTCAAATGTGGCCTTTTAGGCCCTGCGGCTGGGGTTATCGATAAGCTAGACATGAGATTAAATAAATGCGTTCACACCTCGTAAAGAAATGAGAGCGCTGGAAGGAATAGTTAAAAGGAAGGAAATGCGCGAACTACCACCCTCGCTTGAATAAACACGCTGGAATGTTTTACGGATTAAACTTTACATGAAAGAAGGAAGTAGGGGAAGAGTGAAAGTGAAAATGATTACTCGTGCATACCTAAACAAGCCTTGGCAAACTATAAATCTGCAACCAAATTCCTCTCAGAAACCACTTGCTTCTACCGACAACAGTGTAGTTAAGTGGACATTTAAAGGTAAGATTCGTGGCAGAGCTGCAATTCAGCTTAAGCAGTCTACTTTGACTTTGTGAGCCAGGCGTTAGTTGGAGATGCAAAACTTGCTCGATTCAATATTTTCGAAGGATGCTGAAGTCACTGCGTTTTCAACTAGCTCAATTCTTAATGGTTACGCTATTTCCGAAAAAATAGGGAGCTTTTAAGTTATGCAGACGAAAACAGTAAGCAAATATTTGATGTGAATGTCATGGTAAGATGGCACTTGGAACACGTCATTGCAATAAATCAGGATTAACAAATAGACTCGACGATTAAACCTGGTTAACGCAGTCTTCGACTGTGCACAGGTCCTCCTTTGTAAAAATCAACCGACTAATTTAAACGCCGTCTGAGGTTTCTTGTGCAACCAACTTAGATTACCATAACAGGGATTTACCTTGTGGTTTAAAACCGCACTTGACGCAGGGTATTCTTTTGAGTTTGTGACTGAGATGCCAGACACAAATGAGGCTTTAAGCAAAAACCCTAAACGAGTTCTAGAAAATGTAACGCCATGGATTAATAAATGCTCACTCTATCAGAAAGATCTATTATTCTCAATTGCCGCATAGCTTACTAACTCAGAATGGTATTATTTATCACTGTTACTATCAGACTCGGGTCACTATCTGCAAGTCTTGCTCCCTGATAAGAACCAACTATCAAGTGCCATCAAATTGGGCTTTAATCCGAACGAGACACGACGGAAAATGGTGCATCTTATTTTAAATGAAACTGACCAGATTTGATGGCAATAGAATCTGAAAACAGCTTTCTCAAGGCTAACAAGACAATAGGCGTTAAGGAAAAGTTTTCATGCTGAGACACAAGAACTAAGTACTTTGGTCTCAGGCCGCGACGTCGCTTTCTATTTTTCATTATCTTGTGGCAAACGTGTCTGCTTAGGATGTAATCCAGGCTCCAGTCGGCATTTCTAACAGCTGGTTACTGGAGCAAAGTACAGGGCTCAGGAAAACAGGAATTTATTGGTAGTCGTGCATTACATTTATCCAAACGGATCGATCTGTATTGAAAAACATGCATCCACTGTCGAGTAAAACCAATGAGATTTTAATCGATAGTAAAAGCACGTAGTAGGCGTTTAATTACGGTAAAAATAGTCGTATCGTAACTGGTAGGTCTAAGTCTTGGCATAAACGCAGATTTGTATGGAGTCTTTACTGATTGATGAAAAAGTTAAACAACACACATCACCGTAACACTGCGCGAAAAAAACTCAAGTCGGACATTCCGATTCTGATTAGGAAATGGAGTGCGTTTAGGTAAATTGACGAAAGACGGTGACAAAGATATTCTACGAAAGGGGGTCGCATGTTTTAAAATAAATCCATGGACGTTGGTGGAAGTAGTTGACGAAAAGAGGACAATTATTCAAGGTGGCTTTGGACAGAGTGATGGTTGACCGTTCGGTAGGGTTTCCTTGCACAATTACGGTTGAAAACGAAGGGAATTACTGGAAAGAACAAAACAGCAAAACGGCTCATTTCATCACCACTTTCTGTCGCGACCACACGTAGCACGCTGAAGAATTAAAAATATCCACTCAAGAAACACCAGTTTCTTCTTCATTGACTTCTAATCCATTTTTTTAAAAAAACGAATAGTCCATTCCAGGGATTGCAAGGTTTTATGGTAAAATGAGTAAGTCCTCTTTCCCGTGTGCACCAGAAATACGAAGCAAGCAAACAGAAAATCCCCGTGGGTCTCGCAGGGCAGAAGGTAGTTCGTTACTGCTGTAATCCACGGCAGATATGTAGAATCTGTGAGTAGTTTTCCGAAGTGGGCCCATTAAAGACAAGTTGATGCGTTTTCCCTCATGTAAATACATTTTTTATTCCATGAATATTTCTTCCAGCTTTTAAAGTGACTAGATGTGTGTATGCACACGATTTCGGCAAACAACACTCCTATTATTTGAGGGTGTTTTACTTAAAATATTTTAAGGTGGAACATGTGCGTGTCAGCGATATCTCACAAATTGAAAATAACTCTAAAATGCCCGAAGACGCTTAATGGCAAATACAGAAGGGCTCCCCGAGCCAAGGAAAACGTGTTTCGGCGTTTAGCAGCCGGAATACGTGTACGCTCTGTTGATATTGCTTGCGAGCAAACATAGTCAATCTGAAGTAAATAAGGGCATAAATCTTGTTATAAAAGAGGGACAGTAAACATGGGTGGATGTGTCCCACGAGGACAACTAATAAATCACTGTTAGTACGAACTTTCTGGTGCAGGCACGCACCTGTGCACACGCACGCACTCACGCACGCACGCACGCACACGGTGACGCGCTGTGTGCACCTTTTTTCTGTCTCCTTGTGATAACAACACTTCCACAATCTTTCTTGCTCTTGTCATTGAGCAAAAAAGCCGTAAAGGGGTCAAAACTAAACTGGTCTCAGATTACGCCAACGTACGCACACTACCTGTGGATGAGGTGCACAAAAAATCGCTTCTTATTGTTGGGGTTCGCAGAAAAATAACACAATGTGCTATGCTGCCGCAACACCAGGCACCAACGCCTGACGATTAAACACGCAGATATTTATCTAACTGCAACCTCTCTGTCAGACAAGCTTTTGTTAATAAGGTTTTTTTCAATTTGCAAGACAAACAGAGTGGCTTCTCTGGATATCCGGAATCTGTGAATAGCGGGATTTTGGAAAACTAGGTAACCCCTCTGCGTTCAGCGTCCAGATTGCCCCATTATTATTAGCCAGTACGATCAGTTACTAAATAATATGGGGTGGTCTTTCACAATTGATAAGTCAAACTTGTCTTCCATTTCGGAGACCTCAAAATTGCGTCCACAATACTATAACCAATGTCATTGGACATGAGATTAGTAAGCCTTATGCATAATCCGTCAACTAAACAGGGCGATTTCGTAAACAATCTTACAACTAATAGTGGTTAGTGAGAAGCCTCGGAAAGGAGCATTCAGCAAGGAGCAACCCAAGTGAAATTAGAATGTACTTGGCAGGTGAAGCCTCGAGCAATCACCGACCCCTGCGGGAATAGGGGAGAGGGGTGCGGAAGGGGGGGCGGGTAAGCGGGGTTGAAAACAAATCGAGATTGGCACGAGACGTAGGAGTGTTGTTTTCGCGTGTTTTCACTCCTGGTGTTCAAGTCCGACAACTCC